CCCAGCCAATAGGGGAAGGACACAGAAATAGGAACTGCGTTAGGATTAAAAACTCCTTCCCTCCTTTGTTGGGTGTGCTCTTGTGATTGTAACAGGCCACAAGCAGCACTGTCCTGCAGAAGTAAAGGTGCCTTGCTGAGAAATTTTCTGTCTAAGTGCGGGTTTCTTTTGGCTACGCCGAGCACTTGTTTCCAACAGTAACACATACAATAAAAAATCCTCCTACAAATCAATACAAAAAAAATGAATTTTGTTTTTCTTTTTTCTTCTTTTTTCTTGAGACAAAGTCTCACTCTGTCGCCCAGGCTGGAGTGCAGTAGCTGGGATCACAGGCTTCTGCTACCATGCCTGGCTAATTTTTTTGTATTTTTAGTAGAGGTGGGCTTTCGCCATGTTGGCCAGGCTGGTCTCGAACTCCTGACCTCAAGTTATCTGCCCACCTCGGCCTCCCAAAGTGCTGGGATTACAGGGGTGAGCCACTGCACCCAGCCCATTTTTGAAGTTAGTTTATTTTTTATGAAACCCCATCTGTACTAAAAATACAAAAAATTAGCCAGGTGTGGTGGTGAAGACCTGTAGTCCTAGCTACTTAAGGGGGCACTGAGGTGGGAGAAACGCTTGAACCCAGAAGGTGGAGATTGCAGTGAACCAAAATCCTGCCACTGCGCTACAACCTGGGCTACAGAGTGAGACTCCATCTTAAAAAATAAATAAATAAATAAACAAACAAATAATAAAAAATAAAAATGGGCAAAGGACATGAACAACCATTTTATAGAAAAAGAAACTTTGGCCAGGTGCAGTGGCTCATGCCTGTAATTCCAACACTTTGAGAGATGAGGCAGAAGGATCGCTTGAGACCAGGAGTTCAAGACAAGCCTGGACAACGCAGGGAGGTTTTTTGGTTTATTTGTTTTGTAGAGACAGGATCTCCCTATGTTGTACAGGCTGATCTTGAACTCCTGGGCTCAAGCAACCCTCCCATCTAGGCCTCCTACAGTGAGGGGATTATAGGTGTGAGCCACTGCATCTGGCATACAAAATTTAAAAAAATATATATATATATATTAGCTGAGCATGGTGGCCTATGCCTGTAGTCCTAGCTACTGCTGGGGAGGGGAGAGTGTTGAAGGGAGCTGGGCAGGAAGATTGCTTGGGCTGAAGAGTTCCAGGCTGCAGTGAGTTGTGATCACACCACCTGCCCTCCAGCCTAGGTGACAGAGCAACACCCTATATCAGAAAAATAACAACAAAATAAAGAAATTTAATTAGCCTATGTCTTAGTCTCTTCTGGCTGCCCTAACGAGATACCATAGACTGAGTGGCTTAAACAACAGAAATTTATTTCTCACAGTTTTAGAAACTGGGAAGTCCAAGATCAAGGTGCCAGTAGGGTAAGTTTCATTCTAAGGCCTCTTCTCTTGGCTTGCAGGCAACCATCATCTCACTATGTGCTCACATAATCTTTTGTTTCTCTCTCTCTCTGTGTGTGTGTGTGTGTGTGTGTGTGTGAGTGTGAGTGTGAGAGAGAGAGAGAGACAGAGAGAGAAAGAGAGAGCGCAAGACAGAGCAAGTACGCTCTGGCATGTCTTCTTACAAGGACTCTAATCTCATGATGATCCCACCCTAATGACCTCATCTAACCCTAATGACCTCCCGAAGGCCCCATCTCCAAATACCATTACATTGGAGGCTAGGGCTTCAACATGTAAATTGTGGGGAGGACACAGTTTAGTCTAGACTAGCCTATAGATGAAGACTTGCTCTTTTGCCCAGGCTGGAGTGCAGTGGCACGATCTCAGTTCACTGCAACCTCTGCCTCCCAGGTCCAAGCAATTCTCCTGCCTTAGCCTCCAGAGTAGCTGGGATCACAGGCATGGACCACCATGCCCAGCTAATTTTTTTTTTTTTTTGTACTTTTAGTAGAGCTGGGGTTTCACCATGTTGGCCAGGCTGGTCACCAACTCCTGACCTCAGGTGATCCACCTGCCTCAGCCTCCCAAAATACTGAGATCACAGCTGTGAGCCACTGTGCCTGGCCATCAGCCTATAAATATCTTTTTACTGCCCAAGCTCATTAATGATCAGAGAATATAAATTAAAATAAAAGTGAGATAACATTTTATACCCACCAGATTATACAAAATCAAAACATCTGATGATATTAAGTGTTGGCAAGGATGCAGAGCAAGAGAATTCTCATTCACTGCTGGTGGAAATGTAGGTTGGAACAGTTTGGATAAGAGTTAAGTGAAGTACTTTCTAATGAAATTGGTGATGAACATACCCTACGTTCCAGCAATTCTGCTCCTAGGTATATATGCTAAAGTATATAAAATAAAAATGTAGAGACTAGGCCAGGTGCCGTGGCTCATGCCTGTAATCCCAGCACTTTGGGAGGCCGAGGCAGGAGGATCACGAGGTCAGGAGATCGAGACCATCCTGGCTAACACGGTGAAACCCCGTCTCTACTAAAAATACAAAAAATTAGCTGGGCGTGGTGGTGGGCACCTATGGTCTTAGCTGCTTGGGAGGCTGAGGCAGGAGAGTGGCGTGAACCCGGGAGGCGGAGGTTGCAGTGAGCCGAGATCACACCATTGCACTCCAGCCTGGTGACAGAGTGAGACTCCATCTCAAAAAAAAAAAAAAAATGTAGAGACTAATCTCTAAATGTAACATTTTATTTGGGAGGCAAGAATTACAATTCAAAGCATATGCAGACTGGGTGTTCTTTGGTTCACTGTTTGAGGTTTTACAAAAAGGAGAAAAGTTACATACGACTTTGAAAGAAAGTTCATTGGCACTAGGAAAGTTTTAGGTTGCTGGCAAGCTCTGATTGGTGAGTGACTGCAGTGGGTAAAACTAGTCCTTTGAGGCTGGGCTCAGTGGCTCAAGCCTGTAATCCCAGGAGTTTAGAAGATTTAGGTGAGTGGATCACTTAAGCCTGGGAGTTTAAGGCCAGCCTGGGGCAACATGATGAAACCCTGTCTCTACAAAAAAGACAAAAATTAGCTGAGCTTGCTGGTACGCACCTGTAGTTCCAACTATTTGGGAAGCTGAAGTGAGAAGACTGACTTGAGTCCAGCAGGTCTAGGCTGCAGTGAGCCCCGCCCCAATCACACCACTGCACTCCAGCCTGGGTGACAGGGAGAGACCCTGTCAAAAAACAAAACAAAACAACAAACAATAACAACAACAACAAACCACCAAAAAACCAAAGTAGTCTTTGAGTCATGGCAGTTTGTTTCAATAGCTATTGGGTAAAACTGGTGTCAGGTTACAACAGGCAGTTTCAGCAGCCAGGGTTGCAGAGAATTACATTCTTTGAGCAATGTAATGTGCCCTCCCACTGTTTTCATTGGGTATGACAAGAATGACCCAATTTGTATGCTCAACTTTCACAGGCGTAATCCAGTAGTAAATCACGAAATTGATTTTAGTAGTGCTGAAGTATAATTTTCTGAAAAGTAAAATCATGACTCTCTTACAAATATAAAATAAATAGGTATCAAATATTTTATTCATCTTATTAACTTATAAGGGAGCCAGTATGGTGTTTAGGAGTGTAGCATGAATTTGCTAAGAATCAGGAATGTTTAAATGAATTTGCTAAGAAGGCTAAAAATGGTTTAATATGCTACAGGTCAATAAAGCAATGTTTTGGTGTATATTTTCTACCAATGGGCAGAATTATTTTGAGTACTATCAGTTTTCTGGTAAAATAGTTTAGTCAATAGAAAGAGCTCCCTACGGATGCAAATCCTTCCAGCCTTACACTGAAAGGGCACCCAGAATTCTCTTTTCCTCATTTCCAAATCTTTGACAATGTTTGCTGACAATAGGTCCCTGTTAGCAGTTTTTGGTAATGAAAGAGAAAAGAAGAAATAGAAATTTAGTGCACTGCGGGTCGTAAGTGTAAACGTAGTTTTGCGAAGATTTTGTTTCAGGCCAGGCACAGTGGCTCACACCTCCCAATACTTTTGGGGGCTGAGGCTGGCGGATCACTTGAGCCCAGGAGTTGGAGACCAGCCTGGTCAACATGGCAAAATCTTGTCTCTACTAAAAATACAAAAAATTAGCCTGGGGGTGGTGGCACAGGCCTGTAGTCCCAGCTACTCAGGAGGCTGAGGTGGGAGGATTGCCAGAGCCCAGGAAGTGGAGGCTAGAGTGAGCCGAGATGGCACTACTGCACTCCAGCCTCGGCGACAGAGCCAGGCCCTGTCTCATAAAAAGAGAAAGAAATACACGTTGGGAGGCCAAGGCGGGCGGATCACCTGAGGTCGGGAGTTTGAGACCAGCCTTACCAACATGGAGAAACCCTGTCTCTACTAAAAATACAAAATTAGCCAGGCATGGTGGCGCATGCCTGAAATCCCAGCTACTTGGGAGGCTGAGGCAGGAGAATCTCTTGAACCCAGGAGACAGAGGTTGCGGTGAGCCGAGATCGGGTCATTGCATTCATTCCGGCCTGGGCAACAAGAGCGAAAACTCCGTCTCAAAAAACAAAAATTAAAAACAAAGAAATAAAATTTTGTGTCAGATATATACATCTATATATATAATCACAAGTATATATTGGGTTTGATGTAAAATATTTTTGTTCACCGTAGGCTGGGATCAAAACAGTTTGAAAGCCACTAATGTGACACGAGGGTCAACAGTGAAAAAAACTGGACTTTGAGTTCTTCCTTCCCCAAAATAAGCATCCCTTCGGTGCCAGGCTCAGTCATGCAGACTCAGAAAACGATTCGAGAGAACAGTAGAGAAGCACCGTGTCAGGTGTTCGGCGCGTCTCTCCTTAACACTGAGATCCGCGGCCTTCCCGGGACACCACAAGAATCAAGAGTGCAAGCGGGATGGAAAGGGCGAGCCAGCCGGCCCCAGCAGGCAGGAGCAGAGGCTTGCAGCTAGGCTGTGGGTCCGCGGGGAAGCAAGCCGAAGCCCTGGGCCCCAGCAGTGGGCACTGAGAAGCTCCCGCGGGCCCGCCACCTGCGAGCGGAAGAACCTCGCGCACGCGCAGTGAAAACCCAGCGGGCCGCAAAGCATCAGAAGCCCCTCCACCCGGCCCGGCTTCGCCTCCTGCCCTGGGGGCACTGCACGGCCCACTCACTCCCGCCCCGTCACCCCCGCCAGGTTCTCCCCGCCCTTTCCGGCCGGGGCTGGTCGCGATTGCGCGCGCAGGGCCTGAGCGGGCGTCGGAGGGAAGGGGAAGCGGCGGGTAAGGAGATCCTGCGTCCGGGCGCGTCTCTGACGGGGTTGGGAACTTCCTCTTATACTCTCTCCGGCTTTCCGGACCCCAGAGGACTTGAGAGAGAAACCTCTAGAAATGTGTATTTCCTTGCCTTTCCTCCGGCCGCCGCAGGCCTTCCTCCGACAGTCTTAAGTGTCGCCCTCTCCAGACCTTCCTGTCCGGACCGGTCCTGCCTCCCCCGCCCCAACTGGGGAATCCTGAGGCTGTGTCCCCAGTCCCTCTGTTGTCGCTTCGTTTGTCTGAGATCCCTTCCCTGACTTTTAGGTAGCGCAGGAACGATTATTAGCTTTTAGTGTAGCAGCAGTTTAGGACTAGCTCTCTCTGTTGGGCTCCCAACTCAAGCACAAAGAACCACGGGTGTTTTGACGCTTGTTCCGGGGGTTGTTTCTGACACCCCTTTGTTGAAGCAGTTTCGGCATGTTCTCAGCAGTGAATTCAAAGCTAGCAAACATAGGTCCCGCTTTAGTTCCTCTGGGCAATTCTACCGTTTCCTAGTATTTTTGAGACAGTCTAGCCCGGTCGCCTAGGCTGGAGTGCAGTGGTGAGATCACAACTCACTGCAGCCTCGACTTCTCAGGCTCTAGCGATCCTCTAACCTCAGCCTCCTGAGTAGCCGGAAGTACAGGCGTGCCCCATCACACACAGCTAATGTTTAAAAACTTTTTAGGGGAGCCTCACTATGTTCCCCAGGCTGGTCTTGAACTCCAGGACTCAAGCGATCCTCCCGCCGGGGCATCCCAAAGTGCTAGGATTACAGGTGTGAGCCACCTTGCCCAGCCAATAATCTGCTTTTCAGATTTGGGGCACATCAGGCATGTCCCTTATATCCCTATGCAATGTCGCAGAATTTTCCTTTGGAAATATGGTCATTCCACATGCCACCTTTTGGGATGAGGTTCCTACTCCACTGACAGTGGGATGGTATCAGCAGTTACTGAGAAGCATGGTAACAGACTAGTATTTCTATTGTTTGCCACCCGAATGGATATTCAGTCAACTCTTTCTTGTAGCAGGAGGCAGCATTTTAGCTCAGTGACTGTGCTTGATGCCTTGAAGGGACAGAGGAAGTACCTTGTATTTAAACCACTAGGGTTCAAAATGTTCTGACAGAAATGTAAAACAGAAAAGGCCTGACAGTCATGTCATGTTGATAATGTTTCCAGGTCACATTTCTGTGTAGGGCCAAATACATGCTTTCTCCTCCCCCACCTCCCCCCGCCCTTTTTTTTTTGAGACAGAGTCTGTCTGTTGCCCAGGCTAGAGTGCAATGGCTGGATCTCCATTCACTGCAACATCTGCCTCCCAGGTTCAAGCTATTCTCCTGCCTAAGCCTCCGGAGTCACTGGGATTACAGGCGCCCACCACCATGCCTGAGCAATTTTTTGCATTTTTTAGTAGAGATGGGGTCCCCGTGTTGGCCAGGCTGGTCCTGAGTGCCTGACCTCTGGTGATCCACTCGCCTCAGCCTTCCAAAGTTCTGGGATTAAAGGCATGAGCCACCGCTTTTTTTTTTTTTTTGAGACAGGATCTTGCTCGGTCATCCAGGCTAGAGTGCAGTGGTGCCATCTCAGCTCACTGCAGCCTCAACTTCCCTGGCTCAGGTGGTCCTCCCACCTCAGCCTTCCCTGAGTAGCTGGGACTACAGGCCTGTGCTATCATGCTGGGCTAATTTTTTTTTGTATTGTTAGTAGAGACAGGGTTTAGCCATGTTGCCCAGGCTGGTCTCAAACTCCTGGACTCAAGCAATCCGCCTGCCTTAGCCTCCTAAAGATCTGGGCTTACAGGTATGAGCCACTGTGCCCAGCCCCTTTCGCCCTTTTTTTTTTTTTTTTTTCTGAGACAGAGTCTCGCTCTGTCACCCAGGATGGAGTGCAGTGACACCATCTCGGGTCACTGCAACCTCTGCCACCTGTGTTCACGCGATTCTCCTGCCTCAGCCTCCTGAGTAGCTGGGACTACAGGCACCTGCCATTGCGCTGGGCTAATTTTTGTATTTTTAATAGAGACGGGGTTTCACCGTGTTAGCCAGGATGGTCTCGATCTCCTGACCTTGTGATCCACCCTCCTCGGCCTCCCAAAGTGCTGGGATTACAGGCGTGAGCCATCGCGCCCAGCCCAACCACTGCGCCTGGCCCTCGTCCTCTTTAAAAAATTTATTTTTCCCTCCAATTTGGGTGACAGAGTGAGACCCTGTCCCCAAAAATAGTTTAAATTGACACATAATGATTGTTTTATATTTACATTTATGGGGTAAAATGTGATATTTTGATACATGTATGTAATGTGTAATGATCAAATCAGGGTAATTAGCACATTCATCACCTCAAACTGCTTGCTTTTATATGCTAGTTATATGTAATATGTTGATATTCTGTAGATGATGATATGAAGCTTTAGCAGCTACCTTTGAACTTCTCAATCAAATTTCTCAATAAGTTAATTCCTAGAAAGTCATGATAATCAGCCTTGTTATTTTGACTTTGATACGTTTAAATGCTATAAATGTAACCATTTTTTTCTAACATCAGCACACACTATAAGTCTTATTACCCATTGATACCTAAACTACAAAATCTTAGTCATCTTAAATTTCCCTGTGCTATTCCATATGTTATATTACAGGATCTCATGGTTTGTTTGTTTATTTATTTATTTATTTATTTTGAGACAGAGTCTTGCTCTGTCACCCAGGCTAAAGGGTGGAGGGCAGTGGTGTGATCTCAGCTCACTGTAACCTCTATCTCCTGGGCTCAGGCGATTCTTATGCCTCAGCCTCCCAAGTAGCTGGGATTATAGCCCTGCTCCACCACGCCTGGCTAATTTTTAAATTTTTAGCAGAGATGGGGTTTTGTCATGTTACCCAGGTTGGTCTCGAACTCCTGGATTCAAGTGATCCCCACGCCTCAGCATCCCAGTGTGCTGGGATTACAGGCACAAGCCACTGTGCCCAGCAGTTTCTTTATTTAAAAAGTAATTTAGGAAGGATGCAGTGGCCTAATAATTCCTATGGAGTGATATGGTGGAACAGTCCTGGATTTAGAGTAAGAAGGCCTGGATTCAGATACTGAGACTGTCATACTAACATTGTATCCTTGGGGAAACTTTGAGCTTCAATTTCCCTTTCTCTCATTTTAGATAAGATTATCTTTTCTTCTCACCTCTTAATTATTGTGAGAATTACCATTGACATAATATGTGGAGAAGCTAAAAGTTAAAAAAAAAAAACAACCCAACCTAAGCTATTGTTATTTCTTCTTGTTCTCATTCATTTCACAAACATTGGAAACCTAACATATGTTATATACTGGTGCTAGAGCTATGAAAGATAGTACCTGCACTTAAAGGGCTGTCTTTAAAGGAGCTTTCAGTGTGTGTGTGTGTGTGTGTGTGTGCGTGTGCATGCACGCAGTAGGAGTAGGGTGGTAAGGTATTTGGTAAGGTAGACCTGTGCTATAGAATGTAAAACCAATAAGCTTAGGGTGAGCAACAAACTTAGGTGAGTTTGGGACCATATTTCCACAATTCCAGAGGAGGAACAGGGAAAGTTTCCTGGAGGAAGTTATATTTGAACAGTCTTGAATTATGACAAGAATCCTGAAGGGCTTTGTGTGCTACAGGAAGTGTACACATTGAAGGATTTTAAGCAGTTAGACTGATCACAACTGCTTTTTGAAAGTTCCTGTTGTCTGTGATACGTGCTTTGTTAACTTTCTTCTTTGTGCTTTATTATTATTTTTTTATTCCATCAAGAAGTGTCCTCTCCTCATACCTTAATATTAACTCTTTATCCTCCTCTAGTGCAGGTCCCATTTCTTGTGTGAAGCATTCTCCAATTATTTTAGCCTCCCTACTTATTTTGTTCTCTGAAACCATATTAGAAATATTAATAGTAACACACTTTAGTCCTTATTTGTTTTATGTTTATGTCCTAAGTAGATTTTAAGTATAGAGAATGTTTCTTATGTGTGAATAGAAATCATGTTAAAAAAAATTGTTGCTTGATCTCTTTGTATTTTGTTTTTCAGGGTAGTAACAGATTATGGGCAACAGTCCTTTTAATTAATGTATCGTCATCATGGCTAATGAGGGCTGTCCCAAGGCTGCTGATAGTCCTTTTTCATCAGATAAACATGCCCAGCTCATCTTGGCCCAAATCAATAAGATGAGAAATGGACAGCATTTCTGTGATGTGCAGCTGCAAGTTGGAAAGGAAACTTTTAAAGCTCATCGGCTGGTTTTGGCTGCCAGCAGTCCTTACTTTGCAGCTTTGTTCACTGGAGGAATGAAAGAGTCCTCAAAAGATGTTGTACCAATTCTAGGAATTGAAGCAGGAATCTTTCAGATACTTCTAGATTTCATTTACACAGGTATGTTACATGAGCCTGTTGCTTTGACTGAAGAATGATTCAATCACTCATGCACTAATGTGGAAAAATAAATTGATCTAACTTTTTAATTACTCTAGAAGGTAATTTAGCAACATGTTATTATGTGACTGAAAATTTTGTATCTTTTGACCCGGTGCTCCTTTTCTAGGAATCTGAAGGAATTAATTAATGATGCAGGCACATATTTACAAACCAGGATTTTATTGTAACATTATTATTATTATTTGATTTTTTTTTCGAGATGGATTCTCCCTCTGTCACCCAGGTTGGAGTGCAGTGGGGCAATCTTGGCTCACTGCAACCTCTGCCTCCCAGGTTCAAGTGATTCTCCTGCCTAAGCCTCCCGAGTTGCTGAAACACAGATGCATGCCACCACGCCTGGCTAATTTTTTTTTTTTTTTTTTTAATTTTTAGTAGAGACGGGGTTTCACCGTGCTAGCCAGGATTGTCTCAATCTCCTGACCTCGTGATCTGCCCACCTTGGCCTCCCAAAGTGCTGGGATTACAGGCGCGAGCCACTGCACCTGGCCTGTGACTTTATTTATAGCAGTATATAATTGAATAAACTCTTGTCTCAGTAGGTTTTATGGCTAAATAAATTATGATACATATATAGATCTCACAAATGAGATCTAACAAATCTTAAAATATATGTATACTATTATGGAGGAATGTTTATAATATATAAAATTTTAAAAATCAGAATATAAGTAAACCTCTATTTTGTTTTAAACAAAACCCAAAAAACTTATGTGTATTTACACATGAGAAAGTGACCAGAATGTTTGATAGCATTTATCTGTAGGTAATTTTTTTCCACAAAGTGTTTATAATCAGCATATGTTATTTTACTCAAAACTATTTCTTAAATGTTTTTGAGGAGTTTTAATAACATTAGAGAATGTACACAAGAGCACAGTGGTTCATGCCTGTAATCCCAGCACTTCGGGAGGCCATTGTAAGAGGACTGCTTGAGGCCAGGAGTTCAAAAATAGGCAGGACAACATAGCAAGACCCCATTTCTTAAAAAAAAATTTTGTTTGAGACAAGGTCTCTCTCTGTTGTCCAGGCTGGAGTACAGTCATGCACTCACACCTCAATGCAGTCTTGATCTTCTGGGCTAAAGCAGTGCTACCATCTCACCATCCTGCATAGCTGTGACTACAGGTACATGCCACCATGCCTGACTAATGTAAAACAAATTTTTTTGTAGAGAGAGGGTCTCACTATGTTACCCAGGCTAAAAAAAGAATTTTTTTTTTTTTTTTTTGAGACAGAGTCTCGCTCTATCGCCAGGCTGGAGTATAGTGGCGTGATCTCAGCTCACTGCAACCTCCGCCTCCCAGGTTCAAGCAATTCTCCTGCCTCAGCCTCCTGACTAGCTGGGACTACAGGCATGCGCCACCACACCCAGCTATATTTTTAGTAGAGACCGGGTTTCATCATGTTGGCCAGGATGGTCTCGATCTCTTGACCTCATGATCCACCTGCCTTGGCCTCCCAAAGTACTGGGATTACAGGCATGAGCCACTGCACTCAGCCAAAATTTTTTTTTTTTTTAATTAGCTGGGTATGGTCACTTGTGCCTTTAGTCCCAGCTAACGGGAGGCTGATGTGGGAAGATCCAGGAGTTTGAGGCTGTAGTGAGCTATGATCAAGCTGCTATACCCTGGACTGGGAGACAGAGTGAGACCCCATCTCTAAATAAAGAAAATAAAACAACTGGGATGATGAGGAGGGGAGTAGGGGAGGGGGAAGAAAGAGAAGGCACACCAAAACAATGTATAGTCTTATATGATATGCAACAAATATGCATAGAAAAAAGATTTGAAAGGTTGAGGTAGGATGATCACTTGAGCCCAGGATGCTGAGGCTTCAGTGAGTGATGATCATGCTACTGCACTCCAGCCTGGGCAACAGAACAAGACTCTGTCTCAAAAAAAAAAGAGAGAAAAAATATATGAAGAGACACTACGGTGTTAATACAATGTGTCTGTGTATGGAAAAATACGTTTTTCGTTTTAGTTTTTCTGTCTTAAAATTCTTTTTCCACAGTGAATATATATTACTCTGTGTGTGTGTGTGTGTGTGTATGATGGAGTTTCACTTTGTCGCCCAGGCTGGAGTACAGTGGCACAATCTTGGCTCATTGCAACCTCTGCCTCCCAGTTTCAAGCGATTCTCCTGCTTCAGCCTCCCAAGTAGCTGGGATTATAGGCTTGCACTAACATGCCCAGTTAATTTTTGTATTTTTTTTTTTTTTTAGTAGAGATGGGTTTTCACCATGTTGGCCAGGCTGATCTGGAACTCCTGACCTCAAGTGATCTGCCCACCTCAGCCTCCTAAAGTGCTGGGATTACAGGCGAGAGCCACTGTGCCCAGCCTCTTTTATTTTTTATTTTGTGAGACAGAGTCTTGCTTTGTCACCTATGCTGGAATGTAGTGGCAAGATGATTGCAGCCTTGACCTCCTGGGCTCATCACGCTATCCTCTTACCTCAGCCTCCTGAGTACCTGTAGGACCACAACACACACCATCATGCCAGGGTAATTAAAAAAAATTTTTTTTTTTAGAGATTATGTCTGGCTATGTTGCACAGACTGGTCTCGAACTCCTAGGCTCAAGCAGTCCTCCCACCTCAGCCTCCCTAGTAGCTGAGACTACAGGCGCACACGCCGCCACACCTGGCTAATTTTGTTTTTTTTTTTGAGGCGGAGTTGTGCTGGGCTTAGTGGTGCGCACCTGTAGTCCCAGCTACTCAGGAGGCTGAGCCAGAAGAATTGATTGAACCTGGGAGGCAGAGGTTGCAGTGAACAGAGACCATGCCACTGCACTCCAGCCTGGGCAGCAGAGCAAGACCTTGTCTCAAAAAACAAACAAACGAACAAAAAAGGCTGGGTGTGGTGGCTCACGCCTGTAATCCCAGCACTTTGGGAGGCTGAGGTGAGTGGATCACCTGAGGCCAGGAGGTTGAGACCAGCCTGACCAACATGGCGAAACCTCGTCTCTGCTAAAAATACAAAAATTAGCCGGTTGTGGTGGTGCGCACTTGTAATCCTGGCTACTTGGGAGGCTGAGGCAGGAGAATCACTTGAACCTGGGAGGTGTTTGTTGTAATGGGCCAAGAATGCACCACTGTACTCCATCCTGGTCGACATAGTGAGACTCTGTCTTGAAAAAAAATAAAAAAACTTAAAAAAGAAAGCGAAGCCCTTGGAAAAGAAAGTGGTATACATAGTTTGAGTATTTAATAGTTTCTCTTATGTTATAGATTCTTGGTTATTCCTAATATTAAAAACTAGCATTGTGCTGGGTGTGGTGGCTCACGCCTGTAATCCCAGCACTTTGGGAGGCTGAGGTGGGTGGATTGCTTGAGCCCAGGAGTTTGAGATCAACCTGGGTAATGTGGTGAAACCCTGTCTCTACAAAAAAATACAGAAAATTAGCTGATCATGGTGGTGAGTGTCTGTAGTACCAGCTACTTGGGAGGCTGAGGTGAGAGGCTTACCTGAGCACAGGAGGCAGAGGTTGCAGTGGGCCAAGATTGCGCCACTGCACTCCAGCCTGGACAACAGAACGACACCCTGTCTCAAAACAAACACAAACAAAAAATGAACATTGTATGGCATTTAGAGACCTTGTCTTACTCTCCCTGGTGCCTCAGTAAATGTTTGTTACATGCATATAACCTTATGTTAAAAACATAGACTTTATTTGTTGTTGTTGCTGCTGCTGTTTGGTTTTTTTCTTTCCAACTTTTAGGTTCAAGAGGTACACGTGTGGGTTTGTTGCATGGGTAAATTGCGTGTCTTGGGGGCTTGGTATGTAGATAATTTTGTCCTCCAGATAATCAGTATAATACCTGATATGTAGTTTTTCAATCCTTACCCTCCTCCTACCCTCCACTCTCAAGTAAGCCCCAATGTGTATCCATGCCTTCTTGGTATCCATGTGTATGCAATGTTGAGCTCCCATTTATTTTTTTATTTTTTTTTTTTTTTTTTTTTTTTTGAGACGGAGTCTCGCTCTGTCACCCAGGCTGGAGTGCAGTGGCCGGATCTCAGCTCACTGCAAGCTCTGCCTCCCGGGTTCACGCCATTCTCCTGCCTCAGCCTCCCGAGTAGCTGGGACTACAGGTGCCGCCACCACGCCCGGCTAGTTTTTTGTATTTTTTTAGTAGAGATGGGGTTTCACCGTGTTAGCCAGGATGGTCTCGATCTCCTGACCTCATGATCCGCCCGTCTCGGCCTCCCAAAGTGCTGGGATTACAGGCTTGAGCCACCGTGCCCGGCTGAGCTCCCATTTATAAGTGAGAACATATGATATTTGGTTTTCTGTTCTTGTGTTAATTTGCTTAGAATCATGTCCTCCAGCTCCATGTGTGTTGCTGTAAAGCACATGATTTCCTTCTTTTTTATGGCAAAAGCATGTCATCCCCTGCCTTGCAACTTGCTTTACCTTACAACTTGTGGACAAGTTACTTAAACTTTGATTCTGTTTCCTTAATATGAAAATAAGAAAAATAATAATATCTAACACATGGGAGTATAATAAGGGTTAAATTAGCATATAAAGCAATTAATGCTGCACCTGGTTCATTGTAAGTTTTTCATAAATGTGTTAGGTATCGTTATCGTTTAAGTTTTGTGCTCTTCACACAAATCCTTGATTGCCTTTTTAAGCGTCTGTCTACTCTGCAAGCATCAGTGAAATCAAGTGTAATACTTTTTGAATATGGTAAGCCAATGTATGTTTTTATTTTATTGGCCATTTTGTCTTCCTACTTCTCTAGGTATAGTGAACATAGGTGTGAATAATGTCCAGGAGTTGATTGTTGCAGCAGACATGCTACAGTTGACTGAAGTTGTTCATCTTTGCTGTGAATTTCTGAAAGGACAAATTGATCCACTGAACTGCATTGGAATCTTTCAGTTCTCTGAGCAAATTGCTTGCCATGATCTCTTGGAATTCTCAGAAAACTACATTCATGTCCATTTCTTAGAGGTTCATAGTGGAGAAGAGTTCCTGGCACTTACAAAAGATCAGCTGATCAAAATTTTGCGAAGTGAAGAGCTTAGCATTGAGGATGAATACCAGGTCTTCTTAGCTGCAATGCAGTGGATTCTGAAAGATTTGGGAAAAAGAAGAAAACATGTGGTAGAAGTGCTAGACCCAATTCGATTCCCTTTATTACCTCCTCAGAGACTTTTAAAGTATATAGAAGGTAACTTTTTTGCTATATGTCAAATTAGTTGATTAATTATCCAGTGATGTGTTCTCTGAAATGTGGGAGAGTGTTTTCATTTTTTGGTTCAGTAACAGACATTTATTGAATGATTACTGTTTTTTTTTTCTTTTTAAAAATGTATTGAATGATTATGTAAGATACAACTTTTGTGTTTTGTGGGTGGGCAGTAGTATTTTAATATTTCTACCTATTTTTATCAAAATCTTTCTTGAGATTGATTACTAAGGCAGATTAGTGTTATAGATAAAAATTACTGACAGAGCGACTAACATAACAACTGCTGTTGACAGAACCAGTTATTTCAGTGTAAGATTTCCTCTTGCTACTCTGAAAAATTAAGCAAAACCTAACACTTGGAGAAAATGCATACATTAAAAATAAAAAAACTCAATGAATCCTATAAGTCTCTTCATTATGAAATAAATTTGGTGTTGATATACTATTATAGCTTCTGAGTAGCCTTTGAATCATCTTTAGATTCTAAACTTAATTCTGAAAATATGTTTTACCATAGTATAAAATAGTTTGTATCTTTATATTAGAAAAATGATGTTTAAATTTATTTCTAAGAATTGCTTTAGGCCAGGTGCAGTGGTTCATGCCTGTAATTCTAGCACTTTAGGAGGCCAAGGCAGGCAGATCGCTTTAGCCCAGGAATTCAAGACCAGCCTGGGCAACATGGTGAAACCCTGTATCTATAAAAAAAAAAAAAAGGCAAAAAATTGGCCCGGCGTGGTGGCATGCACTTGTAGTCCCTGCTACCTGGGAGGCTGAGGTGGGAGGATCACTGGAGCCCAGGAGGTCAAGGCTACAGTGAGCCAGGATTGTGCCACTGCTTTCCAGCCTACTTTAGACCTGGTTTTGAGATTTGAAGTTTTTACTCTTGTCATGCATTGAAAGATTAGGTTGCTATTGAATTACAAATGATTTTATTACAAGTTAAATACACTGCTAAGCATTAACGGTGTAATTCTGTAAATATATAATTAAAAATAAGTGATTGTTAGTTTTTCTCCAATCTTAGCAGTGTTAACATAATTTTGTAGGTTTTTCTGAGTGATATCTTCTTTTACTGTATATATAGTTGATTGTTATTTGCAGTAGTTATGTTCTATAAGTCTGCTGCGAACACAGAATTAGCAAATACTGAATGATTGCTCCTAGGGGAAATATAGGTTTAGGTTCCTGCAAGCCTATAGTCACAACATTTTTGTCACATAGTCAATAGAGCCTTGTTTTATATAGGTTTTTTTTGTTTGTTTCATTATTCTTGATTTGTTTTGAAGTTGATCATTTTTTCATTAGACTGCCATATATCCTTTCTCTTTCAAATTTTTGTTTTTCTTTTTTTTTGGGGAAATTTTCTTTTTTTTTTTTTGAGACGGAGTCTCACTCTGTTGTCCAGGCTGGAGTGCAGTGGTGCAATCTCAACTCACTGCAAGCTCCGCCTCCCGGGTTCACACCATTCTCTCGCTTCAGCCTCCTGAGTAGCTGGGACTACAGGCGCCCGCTGCCGCGCCTGGCTAATTTTTTATTTTTGTATTTTTAGTAGAGACGGGGTTTCACTGTGTTAGCCAGGATGGTCTTGATCTCCTGACCTCGTGATCTGCCCGCCTCGGCCTCCCAAAGTGCTGGGATTACAGGCGTGAGCCACCGCACCCAGCCGGGGGAAATTTTCTTGTGTGAAATTTCTAAATACTGTAAATGTTTAAAGGCTGGGCGTGGTGGCTCACATCTGTAATCCCAGCACTTTGGGAGGCGGAGGTGGGCGGATCACGAGGTCAGGAGATCGAAACCATCCTAGCTAACAGGGTGAAACCCTGTCTCTACTAAAAATGCAAAAAAATTAGCCAGGCGTGGTGGCAGGTGCCTGTAGTCCCTGCTACTTGGGAGGCTGAGACAGGAGAATGGCATGAACCCAGGAGGCGGAGGTTGCAGTGAGCCGAGATCGCGCCACTGCACTCCAGCCTGGGGACACAGCAAGACTCTGTCTCAAAAAAAAAAAAAAAAAACTTTAAATGTTTCATTTGGTAGTCTTTTTCCTTTTATTGGAACTTCTTTGTCATTCATATTTATCATCTTCTAATGTTATAGTATTTTTTCTCTATATTTACAATTATTTTCTCAAGCCTTTCCTCCACATCAGTAATTTGATTTTCAGTCATATCTATTGTTTCTAATTTATTAACTCTACAATCCTGTCATTTCAGTTCTTACTTTGTTTCCTTAGAGATGTATCTCATCTGTATTTGAGCTCTTGTTTTGTAGGACCTACATTCTTTTTTTTTTTTTTTGAGACAGAGTCTCGCTCTTTTGGCCAAGTTGGATTGCAGTGGTGTGATCTCAGCTCAGTGCAACCTCTGCCTCCTAGGTTCAAGCAGTTCTCCCTGACTCAGCCTCCCGAGTGGCTGGGATTACAGGTGCCCGCCACAACGCCCAGCTAATTTTTGTAATTTTTAGTATAGATGGAGTTTCACCATGTTGGCCAGTCTGGTCTTGAACTCCTGACCTCAGGTGATCCACCAACCATAGCCTCCCAAAGTGCTGGGATTACAGGCATGAAACACCGTGCCCGGCCAGGACCTACATTCTTAAATAATTGTATTGTGTGAAGCACGTACAAGGAGTCTATTTGTAGCTGATGTTTTCTTCCGACTGAATTCTTCAATTTCTTATCTTCTTTTAACTGGGACGTACTTTTTTTCTTTTTTCCCCCGAAACGGAGTGTTGCTCTGTCACCCAGGCTGGAGTGCAGTGGCTGTGATCTCGGCTCACTGCAACCTTTGCCTCCCGGGTTCAAGCAATTCTGCTGCCTCAGCCTCCTGACTAGCTGGGATTACAGGTGCGTGCCACCACGCCTGGCTAATGGGGTTTCACCATGTTGGCCAAGCTGGTCTCTTAACTCCTGACCTCATGATCCACCCGCCTCGGCCTCCCAAAGTGCTGGAATTGTAGGCGTGAGCCACCACACCTGGCGCTGGGATGTACTTTAATAAGGCATATGCTCTTTCTTTGTATCTTGCTCATACTGAACTGTTGTTCATGTCAACTCTGTTCAAACTCTTTTCTAATAATACAAGAACTAATTCTCCTTGGCACTCTTTCTACCTAGTACAACTACTTTGTTTTTTCCAGTCTAAAAGTTGAAGGCTGTGTGTTGTGTTCTTGCCACCTTTGTTCTGTTTTTTGTTTTGTTTTGAGACACTCTCACTCTCTCACTCACACTGGCATGTAGTAGTGCAATCATAGTCACTGAAACCTTGACTTCCTGGGCTCAAGTGATCCTCCTGCCTCAGCCTCCAGAGTAGCTGGAACTAAAAGTTCATATCACCATGCCCAGCTCATTTTAAAATTTTCTGTAGAGACAGGGTCTCACTATGTTGTCCAGGCTGGTCTTGAACTCCCAGCCTCAAACATTCCTCCCACCTCAGCCTTCCAAAGTGCTGGGATTACAGGCATGAGGCACTGTACTGGCCCTTGCCACTTCTTTCTAGCCTGAGGCATGAGGGTGGTTGAAGACTAGAGATCCACCAGGGCTGAGATCCTTACTTGGGAACTTGACTTTGATACCTTTCTATTGAGTTCCTGTTATTTATCTTATATCTGGGCCTACTTAACCTAACTAGAGATGTATCTCACCAGTGTGGACTTTGGCTACCACAGTGTTCTGTTAGAGAGCAGATCCAGGTGATCCTTTCTACCTTTACTGATGGTCCTGTGAAGACTTTTCCTTTTAATAATTTTGTTCCTCAACTTTTCTCGGTTCTGCTTTTCACTCTTGATTCTATCTGTCTGCAAATTATCAGTGAGAATTCTCAAGATTTTGTTAGTTGACCATTGTTCTTCAATATTGCTTCTTGTCTGGGATAGAGAGAAAAGGTCAGAGATGGAAAGATAGGAGACAGTCTCTTGCTAGCATTTATAATGCCTTTGTGCAAATTAGAAAATAGTGCCCTTTCAGGGAGAACAGGTCTTACAGCTTGACAAATGAACACAGGTTGACTCTCATCCCCAGTTTACCTCCTCAGCTAAGCACCCTTGAGCAAGGACAACCTACCTCATCATATGCATGATCCTTTTAGGATATGGTACTCATGCCACCAGAATTTATTTTTCTTGCTTTGTCTATCATTCTTAAATTTAAATGTTAATGACATAATTTTATATCTTTTTTGTTATGTTGTAAGTATAGAATTTTTGGCTATTTTAATTTTTAAATTTTGTTAGATAATTGTGATCTTGGAAATTCTTCTTCTTTTTTTTTGTTTTTGAGACAGGGTCTCACCCTGTCATCCAGGATGGAGTGCAGTGGCGCAATCCTGCCTCGCTGCAAACTCTGCCTCCTGAGCTCAAGTGGTACTCCCACATGAACCTCCTGAGTAGCTGGAACTATAGGCACATGCCACCACACCCGGCTAATTTTTGTATTCTTTGTAGCAGCAAGGTTTTCATTCACCACGCTGGCCAGGCTCAAGTGATCCACCCGACTTGGCCAAAGTACTGGGATTACAGGTGTGAGCCACCACATCCGGCCTGGAAATTCTTATACATGGGGGGATACTGTGAAGCATATATATTTTTTAGTTGCTATTCTGCTTATATATGAAGCATTTTTTTTTTTTTTGAGACGGAGTCTCGCTCTGTCGCCCAGGCTGGAGTGCAGTGGCCGGATCTCAGCTCACTGCAAGCTCCGCCTCCCGGGTTCACACCATTCTCCTGCCTCAGCCTCCTGAGGAGCTGGGACTACAGGTGCCCGCCACCACGCCCGGCTTATTTTTTGTATTTTTTAGTAGAGACGAGGTTTCACTGTGTTAGCCAGGATGGTCTCCATCTCCTGACCTCGTGATCCGCCCGCCTCGGCCTCCCAAAGTGCTGGGATTACAGGCGTGAGCCACCGCGCCCGGCCATATGAAGCATATTTTTTAACAGCAACCTTTTTTGTTTTTCATTAATGAAGAAAATGCTTTCCTTAAAATAGTACCAATATTTAGTATTGCAGGAAACAAACACCATTGTTTGGTGATGATTTTTTATTTATTGATTGTTAAATGTGTCTTTATAGAAATGTGTTTTTTCAATGTTATTTAAAAATTGTTGAAAACATTGTCTTTTTAAATAATGCTTTAGGAGTATCCGATTTTAATCTTCGTGTTGCATTGCAAACACTTCTGAAAGAGTACTGTGAAGTATGCAAATCTCCCAAAGAGAACAAGTTTTGTAGTTTTCTGCAGACATCTAAGGTTCGACCTCGGAAGAAAGCAAGAAAGTACCTGTATGCAGTAGGTGAGAGCCCTTTAGAAAGTAATAGAAATTATATTTGTGTTCCAGATCAAAATTTTTTAATATATTGTTGTTTTTACTATACATGATAGAATATGTGGGTGTATTGAAGAGGCATATTAAATTTCACATACAGGCTACAGATTTATAAACTGCATTTATATATTATGATAAATATGTCTAAAAAGAAATAGCTATTCATTTTATATCTGTTATTCTGTGATCTAAACCTTTGAGTTTGTAGATTATTCAGTTATCAAATAAGTGACTAAAGAAGTGCTGCTTTAAAAGTAAAAAATTTGAATTCTTGTGAAAAATAAAGAAAATAAATCTCAAGTTTTTAAACTATTCACAGTATCTTAGTCATTAGCAGTGATAGGAATCAATGATCTCCAAAGTGTGGTTATAAAGGAAGATCCATAGGAATATCAGCGGAACATGTTACAACTTCTTTTTTTTTTTTTTTTTTTTTTTTGAGGCAGAGCCTCACTCTGTCACCCAGGCTGGAGTGCAGTGGCATGATCTCAGATCACTGCAACCTCCGCCTCCTGGGTTCAAGCAATTCTCCTGCCTCAGCCTCCTGAGTAGCTGGGACTACAGGCATGCGCCACCATGCCCAGCTAATTTTTGTATATATGTATATTTTTAAGTAGAGACAGGGTTTCACCATATTGGCCAGGCTGGTCTCGAACTCCTGACCTTGTGATCTGCCTGCCTTGGCCTCTCGAAGTGCTGGGATTACAGGCATGAGCCACCGTGCCCGGCCACATATTACAACTTCTTTTCATTTTTATTTCAAAAAGCATTAACTTGAATCTGGGTGTCGTGGCTCATGGCCTGTAATCCCAGCACTTTGGAAGGCTGAGGTCAGAGGATTGTGTGAGCCCAGAAGTTCAAGACCAGCCTATGCAACATGATGAAACCTTGTCTTTACACAGATATACAGAAATTACCCTGGTGTGGTGGTGTGTGCCTGTAGTCCCAGCTACTTGGGAAGCTGAAGTGGGAGGATCACTTGAACTCAGGAGGCAGAGGTTGCAGTGAGCAGAGATTGTACCCTGCACTCCAGCCTGGGCAACCGAGCAAGACACTGGCTCAAAAAAATAAAAAAAAGCATTAAACTTTATCGGCATTTAAAATACATATAATATATAACATATTGATATAGATAGTGCAGATCTGTATACATATTATAGTTTTTATGTAAGTACCTGATGTATGAGATAATTTATAATTTACACATATATAATTACAATTACATGTATGTATTAATATTTAAGTATAATGCTTTTGGGTGCTTCTTAAAATTTTTTTGCTGATTGGATGTATAGTCAAAACAAGGATTTCATCAGGAGGTTGATGGGGGACGATTGAGGCTGCAGTAAGCTGTGATCACATCACTGGACTCCAGCCTAGGTGACAGAGTGAAACCCTGCCTCAAACACAAACACACACACACACACACACACACACAGCTTTCAACTCACTATTTTTAATTGAAAAAGACACTAATGAAAGTTACAATGAAACTTTCCTAACTTAACAGATAAGCAGTGCCTAGATTCATATTTCATATAATATTCTATTTATAACCAAGACCAAGTGGTAAAACACTGAGGCTAACCGTCTTACTATTTAAGCCACAATCTTTCAGGAATTGGCAAATTTAAGAATATTACATTATATATATAGAGAGAAAGTAAGCTCTAAACCATTTATTTCTTGTTATATAATAGTTATACTAAATGTTTAGCTGTAGAACACTAGATTTTCATTACTACCATTTTTCTATTTAATAGTAAGGGATTTGCTGTGTACTCACTTTTCTTCTTTTGTTTAGGTGGATATACTCGGTTGCAGGGGGGTCGTTGGAGTGATAGCAGAGCCCTCAGCTGTGTGGAACGTTTTGACACCTTTAGCCAGTACTGGACCACTGTATCTTCACTTCATCAGGCTCGAAGTGGGCTGGGAGTAACAGTTCTAGGAGGGATGGTCTACGCTATTGGAGGTAATAATAAAAATGTCTTATTTTCTTTATTAGTCTTATTGGCTATATTCTAATATGCTTTATGATTTATATGTTGCTGTGTGATATACATATATCTAATTGTCCTCAATAAGTATTTACAGAAAGGATGGAAGGAAGGAAGGACGGAAGGAAGGGAGGGAGGGAGGGAGGGACGGAAGGGGGAAGGGGGAAGGAGGAAGGGGAAAGGTGAAAGGGGGAAGGGAAAGGGGAAGGGGAAGGGCAAGATGGTGAATATTTCATATTGGATGAATACTGTGATTTATCACAAGCCAGAATGCTTAGGTTTGGTTTTAATGAAAAGTGGTGGTGAGGTGTGGTGGCTCACACCCGTAATCCCAGCACTTTTGGAAGCCGAGCCAGGAGGATCACTTGAGCCCAGGAGTTTGAGATCAGTCTGGGCAATATATTGAGACTTTATCTCTTAAAAAAAATTAAAAATGAGCCAGATGTGTGGCACATTTCTGTAGTCCCAGCTACTTGGCAGGATGATGTGGGAAGATTACTTGAGCCCAGGAGGCAGTGGTTGCAGTGAGCCATGATCGTGCCACTGTACTCCAGCCTGGGTGACAGAGCAAGACCCTCTCTCAAAAAAGAAAAGAAAAGTTGTTTATAGAATATGGCACCCGCCTGGCGTAGTGGCTCACGCCTGTAATCGCAGCACTTTGGGAGGCCGAGACAGGCAGATCACCTAAGGTCAGGAGTTCAAGACCAGTCTGGCCAACATGGTGAAACCCTGTCTCTACTAAAAATACAAAAAAATTAGCTGGGCATGGTGGCGGGTGCTGGTAATCCCAACTACTTAGCAGGCTGAGGCAGGAGAATCATTTGAACTCAGGAGGCGGAGGTTGCAGTGAGCCGAGATCATGCCATTGCACTCCAGCCTGGGCAACAAGAGCGAAACTCCGTCTCAAAAAAAAAAAAAGGTGGCATCAAAATTTAGATCAATATTTATGATAGAATTTTTTTAAATTCTGAAAGCTGCATTATGATTCATTTTTAATAAACCAAGCAGTATGGATACTGGGTACGTAAAAACCAAGTCAACAAGATAGTAGGATATATTTCTTGTCGAAATCCTGGTGTTTTGTAAAACCATTTTTATGAATTATTAAATAATAAAGTAACTGGGACTATAGGCATACATCACCATGTATGGCTCATTAAATATTTATTTATTTATTTGAGATGGAGTTTTGCTCTTGTTGCCCAGGCTGGAGTGCAATGGCGTGATCTCGACTCACTGCAACCTCTGCCTCCTGGGTTCAAGCAATTCTCCTGCCTCAGCCTCCTCTGTAGCTGGGA